GAAGGCAGATGCTCAACTGACAGCCCCCTAGGCGGCCCTGGGCCCACTCTTTACACTCCAAAGGATGGGGGCAAGGGGGAGGGCAGCGGTAATGTGACTGGCAAAGTACGGATGACAAGACATATGAGGGCTGGGACAGACAAGGGTGACCAAACCCAGCTCCACTGAGGGGATCCCAGACCCCATAGGCATCTCCCAGATCTAACGCGGGGGGAGCTCTTGCCTGAGCCACACACAATGCTCTATGGCCAGACAGCCCTCTGCAGGCGTAGCACTCCAGGAAAGGTGCACCTTGGAAGGAAGCCATATTGCATGTGTTAGTTAAATCTTAGCTGAAGGTGGTGGGTGTAGCAAGACCCAGCCATGATCAGAGCAGGGCACAAAGGAGAGGGATGCAGCCCAGCGCCGTGTCTGCATCATTCATGCTTGTCTCCTGACCTGCCCTCCCCAGGGTCCTCCCAGTTCTCCCCCCTCCCTGCAGAGAACAGCTTCAAACGCCATCCCCGGGCCCTCCATCCCTCCTCCCATTCTCTCGTCAGCCTCCCTAACCAGCCTGTCACGCCAACCACCCATTGGGACTCCTCTATCACTGGCTGGTTCCGGGACCCCGCAGTCCTAACCCCGTGCTCTCTCCTCTGCCCTCGGCCAACTTGACTCATCGACGCCATTGAACTCTGCTCCCTCTGGTCTACCCACTGGCCACACCTGCCCGGCCACCTCTGCACCTCCTCCTCCAGGAGCACAAACGATGGAGGCTCCAGGCTTGGGCCCAGGCTTTCTTCTGTCCCCACTGTGCATCAGACCATTAACTATCACATTTCTGCTGCTGTCCCGCCATTCTCCAGCCTTTACCTGTCTGTGGACCTCGGACCCGGAGACCTAACCACTCAAGGGCCCTCCCCACGGAAGGCACATCAGCCCTTTCATGGCCAAACAGGACTGTGGCTCCCCGTCACCCATGCTCCCCGTGGGGCTCTCTTCCCATCTCAGGGCCAGGCACCAGAACCCACTGAAAGCTCACAGGCATCTTTCCACCTTCCTTTCCTTCCCACCCCAAACTCAAGCCACCAGCACACCGTGTCAGCCACACCTTCAAAGTGCGGGTGCAGCTGGGGCGCAGCAGCTAGGGGAGAAAGTAAGGCAATTCCTCAAAAATTACACAGAACTACCCTATGATCCGGCAATCCCCCTGCTGGGTCTCTGCACGTTCACTGCAGCATTATTCACAGCACATTCACAGTGTCCAACAACGAATGAAGGAGTCAAGGAAATGAGGTCCGTCCCCACCACGGAATATCTCGCAGCCTCAGAAAGGAAGGAAATCTTGTCCCAGGCTCCAACAGGAACGGGCTTCAGGGACATTAAGCTGAGTGAAACAAGGCAGTCCCCGAGGGACAAATCCTACAGGATTCCACTTACCTGAGGGACTTGGACACAGAAAGGGGATGGTGGGCGCCATGGGCTGGGGTTGGGTGGGGTGGTCAGTGTTTAACGGGGACAGAGTTTCAGTTTGGGAAGATGGAAGAGTCTGTGGATTCTGCTTGCACAACAGTATGAATCTGCTTGATGCTGCAAACTGTGCACTTAAATTGGTTAAAATGGTCAGTTCCTTCTTCTGTATATTTTACCATAATAATGAATTTTTAGATAGGGCGGGCAGGCAAATGGGATTGGTCTGGAGCCTCTTCCTGCCCCTGAACTAGCTGATGGGGCAATGGCTGAAGGTGACCCCTATCCAGCAAGGCAGGTTCCTGACACGGGGAGCCCCCTGTTCTCATCTCTCCCAGGCCGGGGGGGCCGGGGGAAGGCGGGTGTCTGCAGTCGGCCTGCCCCCCACCTACCCTGCAGGATGCCAGAGTCAGGCTATCGGGTACCAACCGGATCACTGCACTCTTTCTGTAGCATGGTCCCCGCCCTGCCCAGGGCCCTGGTGCCGTGTG